CTCTGCCTCCCCTTTAAGAATCCTGAAGACTCGATCTGAGACATTCCTGACCGTGGCACCAGGAGGCAACATACCATCTGGGAGTCTCGCTCAGTACCATGGAATCTCCTGTCTGTTCCCCTAACCATTGAATCTCCTATCACTATCTCTCTCCTATTCTCCCTCCTTCCCTTCTGAGCCACAGAGCTAGGCTCAGTGCCAGAGACCTGGCCGCTATGGCTTTCCCCTGGTAGGTCCCCCCCACTCCCCAAGCAGTATCCAAAACGGTATACTTATTATTGAGGGGAACGGCCACGGGGATCCCTGCACTGTCTGCCTATTCCCTTTCCTTCTCCTGACAGTCACCCAGCTACCTTTGTCCTGTAATTTGGGTGTGACCACCTCCCTATAACTCCTCTCTATCACCTCCTCAGCCTCCCAAATGATCTGGAGTTGATCCAGCTCCAGTTCCCTAATGATGTCTGTGAGGAGCTGGAATTGGGTGCACTTCTCGCAGGTTAAGTCAGAAGGGACACTAGTAGTGACCCTTACCTCCTACAAGAGGGGTATGCAACTCCCCTAGCTTCCATTCCCTTAGTGGACCTGTGTAAATGGCCTGGTGTTGGTACACAGAAAAGCCATGCACACTGACCAAGTACTGAATTTCAACAGTAACCACCCTAACACCCACAAACGAAGTTGCGTGAAAACACTATTTAAACGAGCGACAGCACACTAGCAACCCGGAACTACGTCAAAAAGGAGTACCTCTACCAAGTATTCAATGACAACAGATACCCGAACAACTGGATCCAACAATGCCTATCACAGGAAGAACAGCAGGAAGATACTGCATGCCCTAACACTCATCACGCTACCACACATCAAGAACATATCTGAACTGACCACAAGACTCCTACGACCATTGGTATCGGACTAGCACCCAAACCACGTCAGCCCTATGCCAACTGCTAACTCGAACCAAACATCCCCTATCCACTATGGACAGAATCAACATAATATACAAACTTCCATGCAAGGACTGCGACAAACATTACATTGGACAGACAGCAAGAAAATTGGCCACAAGAGTACATGAACACCAAGTAGCAGCAAAAAGACACGACCAATACTCCCTCACCTCCATTCACATGGATAAGGAGAACCACCAGTTCGATTGGGACAGCACTAGGATCCTAGGGCAGGCCAAACAGAGACACACAAGGGAATTCCTAGAGGCCTGGTTCTCCACCAAGAAGGCCACCAACAAACACTTAGAACTAGACCCTATATATACACCACTGCGAAGGAAAACCAGAAATGAGGTAACCAATTCCAATGGACCCCAGATATTAAATACCAGGTGGGAAAACACAACAGTGCTTCATCGGAGGCTGCACTTAATGATGTTACCCAGCAGGGTAATGAAACGTGTGCGAACTAACGAACCAGCTCAGTGAGGCAACCAACCACAGCAAGTTTTGATCGTTTTTTTTCCCCAAAGTTCCAAAACAATGTAACAGCTTATTATACAGTAATTACTGCTCCTAGAATTCGAGGAAATCAGCTCCAACACTGAAAATACTTCAAAAAAAAAGGAGCAGCTCTTACAACCACAATGTTTTCCCATCGCCTCATCCTGGATTACCCAGAATCCTCAATGTAAATAAAGGATGGTTTGGTAGCCAAATAGTGGTATGCTCCTGAAGAAAATTGCTCGCAATTGTCATCTTTGAGTTGGAGTAAGTATTTCTGGCATCATGCCTTTATTTAGGAAGCTTGACTCCTTCAATCCTGCTGTTGACGACTGGGCCCCAATAAGTAGAAAGAATGCGTAATTTTTTCAGGGGAAATAACACTGGGGCAGATGAAAAGCAACGAGTAATTCTTCTGACTTCTTGTGGGCATGCAACATTTTTGGTTATTAGGAGGCTAATTTTCCCTGAAACTACAACCTTCCAAGAGTTGACGGATTTAGTTAAGGAATATGATCCCAAGCCTCATCTAATTCTGAGATGCTATTGATTTTACTTGATAGTTACAGAACCAGGGAATCTGTATTGGGATTTTTGACGAGGTCAAGACGACTGGCAGAGGCATGTGATTTTGGGTTAACCCTGAATGAGATGCTGAGACAGGATTAATGACATAACCATGCAAAAGCACCTACTAGTTGAAGCCCAACTGGCCTTCAAATGGGCACTACAACTGGCAAGTGGAGCATATGAGCTACAGGGCATCCCGATGGAAGTTGACACCTTCACCTGTCTGGGCTTGGGGAACACCACTTGAGTGTAGGCAATCGCATAGTCTCATGCAGGGCATATCCTGAGCAGAGTGACCCTAGGCCAACCCACAGCAAAACTCCACAAGCAAAGTCAAGCCTCAGCCAAATGGCTAAATGGTTCTTCAATCTCCGGGCCGGCAAGCCATTACAGTTGCTGCCGGAATGCAGACTCGAGACAGCAACAGAGTCCCACCAGGCCTGAATAGAGTAAGAGAACTGACAGGCTGGAATCCAGAAGAGTGCACACCCTGGAAAGGCTGCATCTGATTTGGAACAGTTAAATTGCTCAGCAACAACCAAATCAGAGCCAATCAAAATAAATGTCTGGTTAAATGGTCACCTGGTTCTAAAGGAGGTCGATACTGGTGCAGCTGTATCAGTGATTACAGAACCAGTTTTTAACAAGATTCATTCTGGACTTCAACCCTTAAGTTACTGCAAGACCTTGGCCAGACTGAGAACATATACTGGGGACCCATTACAGATTAAGGGTACGACTTCGGTTCCAGTCTCCTATGGGAAGCAGTTGGTGCAGTTACCACTGCTTGTAGTAAAAGACTTGGACCCAAGCCTATTGGGGTGGTATCGGTTAAGAAAGATTCATCTAGATTGGCTCAACATTTTTTAATAAGAAAAGGGCTGCCTGAGTGGAGTCCTAATTAAATACACAAGTTTTTCAGGGAAATATAGGGTCTATCAAAGGAGCCAAGGCCTCCTTACATGTTGACCAGGAAGCAATTCTGTGATTCCTTAAGGACTGCCCAGTGCCATTTGCCTTAAATGTAAAAGTCGAGGCAGAAATCAGAAGGCTGGAAAGTGAAGGAATCATCAAACCAGTCCAGTTTGCAGAATGGGCAGCACTGGTCGTACCAATTGTGGAGCCTAACGGGTGGCTTTGCCTTTGTGGGGAATTTAAGCAAACTGTAAACTGTTTCTCACAGCTGGACAAATGCCTAGTCCCTCGCATAGAAGACTTGTACGCAAAACTGACAGGGGGCTGTCTTTCACAAAACTGAACATGAGCCATGCATACCTGCAATTGCAACTAGATGATGATTCCCAGAAGTATGCCACAATTAATACCCAAAAGAGTTCATACCAATATACAATATACATTTGGGGCATCATCAGTCTGTGTACTTTTCCAACGGATGATGGAGATCATTTTACAAGGTCTACTCCAGGTTGCCTTTTATCTGGATGACATGCTAATTGGGAAGACTAATAAAGAGCACTTGGAGAATTTGGACATAGGTGTTTGCCAGCCTGGGAGAAATGTTTAAGCACTTAGGAGGGAAACGAGTGTTCCAGGTACCCCAAGTGACCTACTTGGCTTACAGAGTCAACAACCCATTGAAAGATAAAGTGAGGGTGATCAAAGGGGTCCTGGCTCCCACATCTGTACTGAAGCTTAGGTCTTTCCTTGGGTTAGTGAATTATTATGGAAAATTCATAAGTAACCAGGCCTCCACTTTGGCAACTTGACACCTGCTATTGAGAAAGGATCAGCCTTAGAAATGGTCACGCAGCCAAGAAGTAGCCTTTGGGAAAGTGAAAAACCAGGTATCGTCATCCAGGGTGTTGGCCCAATTCAATCCAAAGCAAGAGGTGGGGCTGATATGCTATGCTTCCCTGTACGGTATCGATGTAGAGTCGGATCACCAGTGGCTCAACGGAGAGGAGTGCCCAATAGTGTATGCTTCCTGGACTTTGACTGATGCTGAATGAAGATACACCCAGATAGAGAAGGAAGGCTTGGCAGTATCTTTGGTGTGAGAAAGTTCCACCAATACCTTTACAGACATAAATTTGTAATAGTAACGGACTACAAACCCCTGTTAGGGCTACTTAAAGAAGACATGGCCTTGCTCTTCATAGCTTCTGGTTGAATTTAGAGGTGAGCCCTTATTCTCAGCGCATACCATTACCAGTTGGAGCACCATCCAGGAGGCCAAGTGGCTAATGTAGATGTCATAAGCCACCTTCAACACCTGTGGTGCTTCCCCAGAAGGGTCTATTCTGGTTTTAAACTTTCTGGACACCCTTCTGGTCACCACTGATAATATCCAACCGTGGATACAAAAAAAATCCAGTCCTGGCAAAACTAAAACAGCTGGTGGTGATGGAGGAAACAAAAGGCCTGTCACAACCAGAACTGAAACCTTTCTGGACCCGGAGAGACCAGATCATTGCCGGCTATGGCATTTTATTATAGGGAGCCAGATTGCCCTGAGTAAAGGCTGTTGCTAGATACTGGCTGAACTCCACCAGGGTCATCCAGGGATTTCCAAAATTAAGATGCTGGCGAGAAGTTATGTCTGTGGCCGGGATTGGATGCCAACATAGCTGTGTTGGTGAGGCAGTGCACAGAGTGCAAACAAGAACAAAAATTACTGTCAGCAGCTCCCTCACTTTTGTGGGAATGGCCGGGTAAATCCTGGACTCGATTATACATTGACTGTGTTGGTCCATTCATGGTGGGGGGTTAGTGTAAGATGGGCATCAGGGCTGGCCACATGCCTCCTTTAAGCGAGAGAGACAATTTACTTCAGGGGACAAGATTTGGTGTTGAAACCACAGGAATGGCCTTGCATGGGTACAAGGTGAAGATGCAAAGTCAGGTCTGGTGACATAGAAAAGTTTGAATAGGTGAGGTGGTCCTGAACAAACGTGGATCACATGAAAGCTGCTACCTTGCAAGCAGGGTAAGCGCAAAATATACCTGGCCCCTCAGAACAGCTGGAAAGGCTGTCAGAAATCACAGGTTCTCCCCCTCCCTCTAACGTTGACGAAGCATCAGAGTTCGAGATGGATGCAGCCGATATTATATCTCGATACCAGTACCACCAGAAGAAGAGAACAAATTCCTTCCGAGACACACCAGGGCAAGAGACTGGTTACGGTCTGGTACATGTACACATCTCAGAGTCAGAGGAACGGGATCTAATGCGAAAACACCCCAGGAGAAGCTCCAAGAAAAAGAACAGGCCTATGTCTCCAGACTTGGGGGTGAGTGGGAATGTACTGATTGGAAATTGATTAGGGATGGTCAGCATGGTTTTGTGTGAGGAAAATCGTGTCTCAAAAACTTGATTGCGTTTTTTGAGGAAGTTACCAAAAAGATTGATAATGGCAGAGCAGTAGACATTGTTTATTTGGATTTTAGTAAAACCTTTGACAAAGTTCCGTGTGGTAGACTAATTACTAAAGTTGGGTCACATGGGATTCGGGGTGACCTTGCCAGTTGGATACAAAATTGGCTTAACGGCAGGAGACACATTAATGGTGGAGGGTTGCTTTTCAGACTGGAGGCCTGTGACCAGTGGTGTTCCACAATTCCTCTTTTGTTTGTCATTTATATAAATATTTTGAGTGAGAATATAGAAGGCATGGTTAGTAAGTTTGCGGATGACACCAAGATTGGTGGTATTGTAGACCGTGAAGAAGGTTTTCTAAGGTTACAATGGGATCTTGATCAAATGGGTCAATGGGCTGAGGAGTAGCAGATGGAGTTCAATTGGGATAAATACAAGGTATTGCATTTTGGTACAACAAACAAGGATAGGGATTATACAATTAATGGTAGGGCCTTGGGTACTGTTGTAGAACAGAGGGACCGAAGGGTGCAGGTACATAATTCTTTAAAGTTTGCATCACACATAGGGTGGTTAAAAAGGCGTTTGGCACACTTGCCTTCATTGCTCACGCCTTCGAGTGTAGGAGTTGAGACGTCATGTTGAGGTTGTACAGGACATTGGTGAGGCCTGTCTGGAGCACTGTGTCCAGTTCTGGTTGCCCAGTTATGGAAAGCATATTAATCAAGCTGGAGAGGATTAAGAAGAGATTTACCAGGATGTTGCCAGGTGTGGAAAGTTTGAGTTATTAAAAAAGGTTGGATAGGCTGGGACTTCTTTCACTGGAGCCTAGGAGGTTGAGAAGCGACCTTATAGAAGTTTATAAAATAATGAGAGGTATAGATAGAGTTGATAGGGAATTTCAAGACTAAGGGCACATTTTTAAGTTGAGAGGAGAGAGATTTAAAAAGACATAAGAGGCAAATTTTTTACACAGAGGGTGGTTCGCAAGTGGAATGAACTTCCTGAGAAAGTGGTGGATGCGGGTACAATCACGATGTTTAAAAGACATTTGTATAGATACAGTAATGCGAAAGATTTGGAGGGATATGGGCCAGGAGCAGGCAGGCAGGGACTAGTTTAGTTTGAGATTATGGTTTGCATGGACCGGTTGGACCAAAGGGTCTGTTTCCATGCTGTATGGAATGAGGTGAGCAGGGTGGGTCTTGATGAATATGAGATCCCTGATTGGGGCTGTTACCCTGGGCCAATCAGGGAGCTCTGGCTGACATATAAATAGGAGTCTCAGAGATTCCATTCACTCTCAGGACTGACTGAGCTAGCTGGTCAGAGTCCGTGTACTGTGCAGGTGTAAATAAAGGGTGACTTGGTGATGGGCTACTGGCCTCCGTGGAATTATTTCACCTGTATTCCCCAACACTTCTGGGATATTATTTGTGTCTTTCTTTGTGAAAATAGAACCAAAGTATGTTTTTCATTGATCAGTCATTTCTCTATTCTCCATTATCATTGGGGAGGCAACGGTCGAGTGGAATTATCATTGGACTGTTAATCCAGAGGCCCAGGTAACGTTCTGGGGAATTGGGTTCGACACACGCACAGCAGATGGTGGAATTTGAATTCAATAAACATCTGGATTTAAGAATTTCTGATTGTAAGGGACCTACATTTGTCTTCACCAATCTTTTTCTCTTCACATACCTATGGAAGCTTTTACAGTCAAGTTTTATGTTCCCCATAAACTTAAACTACAGCTCTGTTTTCCTTTTCTTCATCAATGTCTTTGTCCTCCATTGCTGAGTTCTTTTTCTGGCCAATTTGTATGCCTCTTCCTTGGACCTAATACTATCCCTAATTTCCTTTGTAACCTGTCATGGCCTGCCAAGATAGGTAGGAAACTAAGCTGCCAAGAGGAGGAAGAGTTTGCAGAGAGATTGTAATCAGGTTAAGTGAGTCAATGAACATTTTACAGATGGAATGTAATGTGGAAAAGTGTGAACTTGTCCACTTTGGCTGGAAGAATACAAAGCAGTCTGCTATATAAATGTAGAAAAACTGCAGAAGTCTGAGGTACAAAGGGAACTAGGTGCACAAGTATGTGAATCAGTTATGTGAGAATGCAGGTCCAGCAAGTGAACAGTAAGGTGAATGGCATATCAGTGTTTATTGCAGGAGAATGGAGTATGAAAGTGTTGAAGTGTTACTGCAGCTCTACAAGTCCATGTTGAGAACACATCTGGAGTAATCTGTACAGTTTTGGCTGTCTTACTGAAAAAAGAACTCACTTCATTAGAAGCACTTCAGAGAAAGTTCACTGAACTCATTCCTGGGATGAGAGCTGCTTATCCAACGAAGATAGGTTGAACAAGTTGGGCCTGGATTCATTGAAGTGTGGAAGAATATGAGAGAATCTTACCGAGACATGACAGATCCTGAGGGGACTCTGGAAGTATGTTTCCTTTTGTAGGGAATACGCAAACTTGCTGACACCGTTTAAAAATAGGAGCTCTCCCTTTTAAGAAGGAGTTGAGGAGAATATTTTTTCTCTCAGAAACTTGTCAATCTGTGGAAATCTCTTCCCTAGAAACTAATTAGGTCATGTCGAGACAAGGTAGATTTTTGAAAGACGAGAGTTTGACTGGAAAGTGGAGTTGAGACCACAGCTAGCTCTTATTGAATGGTGAAGCAGGCTCCAGGGACCGATTGGCTTAATCCTGCTCTTAAGTCCTAGACCTATACTCCTTGATCAAAAATTCTTTGTAATTAATGTTGCTTTGTTGATCAGTTGAACCTCATTGCTTGCTATGTCCTCCTAGCCTATCACGTTGTTGTTTTTACACAATGTTAGATTCTGTGTTCACACTCTACCCATTTCTATCCTTACAGCTCGAGAACTGGAAATGTATCTAAAATTGAAAACAGTCCGACAAGCAACTGTGCACTTTAAAGTGCCAAATTAGCATTGTGCTTTGTAATGAGGTATAGTGTAAAAGTAGAATAAATTAGCTGGCCTGCCACAAATGTACTGAGGTAAATCTGTTAGTGCAGGACCAGAGCATAGTCTTGTACCGCGTGGCGTCGGGGTGGTCTGTACCGCGCGGTGAGGCGTCAGCATTGGGGTGGTCTGTACCGCGCGGTGAGGCGTCAGCATTGGGGTGGTCTGTACTGCGCGGTGAGGCGTCAGCACCGGGGTGGTCTGTACCGCACGGCACAGCGTCAGGTTGGTTTGTACCATGCGGTATTAGTGTAGCGACGTTCCACAAGGTACAGGATCAGTGTAGTGCTGTTATGCTTTTGCTTGTGCTTTCTCTATAACATTCTAGTTGGCTCTTGACATGAACGCTCCTCAGCCCCCTCCATCCTACACAACCACTATTTTGTTTATTTCCCAGTTTAACAATGCACTGCCCTGCCATTGCTCTTCTTATTTTAACCTCTGGAAGGGGTTCTTGTGGTGTAGTGGTAGTATCCTTGTTTCTGAGCAGGAGGCCTGGGCTTAAGGCCCACCTGTTCCAGATATGTGTCATAATGTCCCAATATCTGTTGGTCTTTGGTGTAAATTACAGTAGATTGCGTCCCCAGCTCAGATCCTTGTAGACTCCATCACTTCCTGCCAACTGAACAAAGGCCCATTTATCCGTAAGCTTTTTTCTTTTAATTCATGCGTGGGATGAGGGCATTGCTGTTTGCTGCCAGAAGGCCAATCCATGCTAATATGTTAACCCCCTACACCATGAGCTGTTATTTTCTGCATCTTATCAAACACCTGGGAATCCAAGCAGCCTCAGATTAAGGGGGTAGCAAGAACTGCAGATGCTGGAGTCAGAGTCAACACAGTGTGGAACTAGAGGAACACAGTAGGCCAGGCAGCATCAGAGGAACATGAAAGTTGACTTTTCGGGTTGGGACCCTTCTTCAGATCCCTGAAGAAGGGTCCCGACCCGAAAAGTCAACTTTCCTGTTCCTCTGATGCTGCCAGGTCTACTGTGCTCCTCCAGCACCCCACTGTGTTGTCTCAGATTAAGAACTCTTATGTTGCGGTAAACTGAGTTGGTCTTGGTGCTGCATATAAAGGATTGTTTTTTGGTTTAATCCATAGTGATGGAGTTTGTCTTGTTTTACAGGCAGTTTAATCTTAACAAGAAACAGATATTGACTCTTGCTGTCTCCTGCCCTACCTTCCTTTCACACAGACTGCTATATTAAACAAAGGCTTAATACAGGAGCTGCTATAAACTGCAAATAACATCAGCTTAAATACCCCTTCAGTAATAATTTCAATAGAAACTTCAATGATTATGGAATTTTTCTAACCAATTGTCTCTTTGTCTAATGATGATCATAGCCATTACTAAAAAGAAAGAATATGTTTTCATGCACCGATCACCATGTGCTGACAATTGACAGAACGTCATATCCTTTGTTCCTGCAATTTTCAATAAAATGCAAAAGCAGCTCCTGCAGACGTGCTGACTGATGTCACCTTTCATCTATTCCATTACCAGGAGGAACTGATCCACATACAGGGCCCTATTACTCCTGTACTACCCAGGACCATAATATACCCAGACACTGCAGTCCTGCCTTATACTTGCTCAAGAAAGGAAAACCTTTGATTAGCACTGGGCCTGGCATAGATCAACTGAATCCCTGCTAAGGTCAGTTACATATTGGATCAGATATTGATTTATTGTGAGGTCCCGTCACGCTGCACGTTGAATGACACTGGGGTCACTGAATGATAAATTAAATTTGGGGAATGACACTGTACAATAATTTATAGTGGAGCTCTCACTGCAGAGTGACCTATACTTAGATTAGCATACACAGGAAATTAGACTGGAATCACAATGTACATTGAATTACTGAAAGGTCAGTCTTCAGGATGTGCTCATTCTTTCTTCGAATCATTCATGGGATGTTAATGTTGCTGGCTAGGCCGGC